GAGAGATTAAAAATGGATCTCAACTGACAAGTTTTGTTCGATACTTTTAACCGAAAAATTCAAGAATGCGAATCAGAAAACCTAGCCTTTAACGTCTCCACGCCCCCGTCCACACAACGCACATCGTCAAGCACTTCCTGACCACAAAGGAAAAGATTTGGATGATGGACCCCCCCCCCTTATGTCCGAACATTGCCACATAAGATTTCTTCTTGTTTCCCATTTCAGCGACAAAACCCATTAATATCTAATTTTGAGCTCAGAGAAATGACTTATTAATATGCACACTGAATACTTGTGTGATGATAAGATTGAACTCTATGTATGGGTTTGCTTAAAAAATATACTATTTCCGGGGGAAAAAATAAAATATTTAATTAAATTTTTCCACTCACCTGATCCATTCATTGTTAGCTGCCGTCCACTTGTCCTTCCACTGCAGGGATAAACAGAATACTGGCAAGCTCATTGGATAGTCAGGTTTTATACAGACTAGTCCAGTTAGACTAGCTACACCTCTACAATCAATATATATATATACAATATATAGAATACTGGCCAGCTCATTGGATAGTCAGGTTTTAAACAGACTAGTCCAGTTAGACTAGCTACACCTCTACAATCAATATATATATAATATATAGAATACTGGCCAGCTCATTGGATAGTTAGGTTTTATACAGATTAGTTCATTTAGACTAGCTACACCTCTACAATCAATATATCTTTAATATATAACATACTGGCCACCTCATTTGCGATATAAAATAGACAGCAAATCATTTGGCATACCTCTGCCTATAATTTTCCCTATGGAACCAATCGGAAAAATTCTATGGTTTTCACAAAAATTAACAAAAAAGATTGAAGTTCTATGAACTTGGAATTATTTGCTGCATTCTACAATAGGAATATCTGAAAATGCGCGTCAAAAGATGAACATTTGTAAGAAAATTTAACTTGAAAATCAAAATTTAATTGAAACTTTTTTTGATTGCCCTCTCTCAAAGAGCAAAATAAAATAAATAAAAAAATAAAAAAAAACCTTCATTCCGTAGAAGTGTACCTGTTGAGAACCAGCTTGAAAAGACAGTCTGATGAATCCACACTACCAGACTCACAAACTGATGAGGTTTCAGCAAACTGACAATATTTCTCCCATGTAATACTACTCCAGGACTTTAACTTCGTCGAAACTCTAAAAAAAAGAGAAAATAAAAAAATTGACAGCCAGTTAAAAAAAACTTAAATGTATAATAATAATACATGAATGAACTGTAACTATATTATTACGGTTAGGCTTAAAGTGAAACTAATCTAATTAACCAATATTTCTCTCATGTAATACTACTTCAGAAAAAAATTTGTTGACGGCTGAACATTTTTTATTTTGTACGCCGATGTTTTTGAACTATAATGTTAGGTTAATGTTTCAATAGGGAAGTGAAATCAATCTACTGGAGAGTTTCGCACGTCTTGGAAAATATAACTTAATTTAAAGGGACCGTTCACTTCTTTGGGTAATTTCATGGTAAACTAAATAGCTTAATAGCTATTGATGGGAATTGGTCATAGTGTTTAAAGATATCCATGGCCGGAGAAAAATGCAGTTTATCATTCTGAATTTCAGGGCAAATGTATACCTTTACCTCGACACTATTTGATGCTTTTTTCTTTGTCATGGTCTATGCATCATAAAAAATTTAAATATAAAATGTCTTAATTTTCCCCCCAACATTTTTAATAAACTTTCTATTTCTAAAACAATTCACTTTTTTAGCGCATTAATATTTTGTATTGCTTCTGTAAAAAAGGTGAATAGAACGCGGCATGAAAATACAAAGTTGCACGCATACGGTATTCAAATATAACATTATTGGATTACCCTTACGTGTAGTTAAAAATAAATTAGACGATTGATTGCGGGGCGTAGGTTAGGAAGTGTAGATAGTGGGGCGGACAGTATAAACACTAGAATTTACAAACTTTCTGTAGAACGTTTAAACACTCCATGTATTTGATAAAGTCGTCTCTGAAGTCTCATCCTTTGTGGTAAACCCTGTAATATTATGGGAACACTACCTGGGAATTATTTACTTACTTGAGTGGAAATAACTGGATGATTTCCTGGGGAATAGAATCCGGTTTAAATCCTTTAGGTTGCTCCAGGAGTTCTATTTGTTCATGTAAACTAATCCTACTCTCAAACCTAAAATTTTACTTTTTGAAAAGATTTATTTTTAGATTAGAAATTTTCTTTAGTCTATCTTTGCAAAATTAAATCTTAAAATGCTTTGAGCTCTAACAAACAAGAACTTCTATTTAAGAGAAACCTGTATTGCTAAAATAAACTGAAATATATTTATTTGTGAGGATGAAAAACCTTGATAAGAAAAATGAGCTTTTTAGCGCTTGTAAGATAACATATTGGCAAACCAAACCAAACCAAATCAAATCAAATCATATAAAATTAAATCAAATCTAATCAATACAGAGATAGCATATGGCGTCCTTCGTGATGGTTAATTTTTTTCACTTTTGAATTTCCACCCCACCGGATCGTTTTAAATTAAACCAGATCCTTGTAATATTTATACAAACCTTTCTCTTATCTTCTGAACTGTCTTCTGCATATTGAGGAATGAAATACCTTTGTCAGGTCCACTCGAGGCAAGGAAGTTTAATCCTAGGTTTCCAATCAATCAATAAGTTAGTCAGTAGTCAGATTTATCAGAAACCAATAAATTGGTCAGTAGTCAGATTTATCAAAAACCAATAAATTGGTCAGTAGTCAGATTTATCAGAAACCAATAAATTGGTCAGTAGTCAGATTTATCAGAAACCAATAAATTGGTCAGTAGTCAGATTTATCAGAAACCAATAAGTTGGTCAGTAGTCAGATTTATCAGAAACCAATAAATTGGTCAGTAGTCAGATTTATCAGAAACCAATAAATTGGTCAGTAGTCAGATTTATCAGAAACCAATAAGATGGTCAGTAGTCAGATTTATCAGAAACCAATAAATTGGTCAGTAGTCAGATTTATCAGAAACCAATAAATTGGTCAGTAGTCAGATTTATCAGAAACCAATAAATTGGTCATTAGTCAGATTTATCAGAAAACAATAAGTTGGACAGTAGTCAGATTTATCAGAAACCAATAAGTTACTCAGTAGTCAGATTTATCAGAAACCAATAAATTGGTCAGTAGTCAGATTTATCAGAAACCAATAAATTGGTCAGTAGTCAGATTTATCAGAAAACAATAAGTTGGACAGTAGTCAGATTTATCAGAAACCAATAAATTAGTCAGTAGTCAGATTCATCAGAAACTCAATAAGTTGGACAGTAGTCAGATTTATCAGAAACCAATAAATTAGTCAGTAGTCAGATTCATCAGAAACTAATAAGTTGGTCAGTAGTCAGATTTATCAGAAACCAATAATTTAGTCGGTAGTCAGATTTATCGACAGAAATTTAGAGATAGCTATAATTTAGTCGGTAGTCAGATTTATCGACAGAAATTTAGAGATAGCTATTAAAAGGTGATTTAAATATATTTTTAAGATTGCCACAACGTAAACTATGATTAAATTTCAACATTCACATGCAATTCTCAGCGATGGTCATTTTAAGGATCAATTCTGTTAAGATGCGGGTCTGAATTTGAACAAGATCTTGCCATGATGAATAAAACTAAATGAATTTTATGATTGTATTAGTTCCTGCAAGTCTCTGCGCCCAGACAAAGGGGAATCCGGTTTTACGAAGCATAGGACCCACATCACCACTTATACCGGCTTCCTGGAATAGGACTATCAGCTAATATGTAAATGAAGATCAAAACTCACTAACATTTACCCTATCCCGATTGGGCTATTTTTGTCTAAAATAGATTAGGAAGGGGGAGGGGGCACCCCAATGATTTTGCCCTAAGAGTTGAATTTTTTTTTTAAATATTAACATGTGACACATGATTTTACATCCATTTTTTTAAACACTGTTTTAAAGTTTTTTAGAAAAACCACGGGGGGGGGGGGGAAACTTCCCCCCCCCTGATCATGATAGGGTTACATTTGGACAAAACGTTGGAATTTTTTTGTACACTAACTTAGCTTGTTTTGATAAGGTTAAAGTTTCTTGTAAAAATGCATTACCTTGAGTTGATATTCGTTCTTAAGATTAGGAGACTGTGAACCATCATCTTCTTCATACAACTGGGTCAGTAAACTGCTAGCCTAGAAATTTACAATATAAACAATGAATTTTAAGTTATTCTAGAAGGTATTGAAGGTATTGAAGGTATTGAAGATATTGAAGGTATTGAAGATATTGAAGGTATTCTTGAAGGTACTAAAAGTGTTATTTCAAGTGACCCTTCATGCAAAAATGTCGATGCCCGTATCACAAGAGAACCCTTGATACCTTTATCTGATCAGTAAAATAGAGGATATTATCGTCTCTTTACGTTTAAACGTGATAATTCCTAAATGTTTTCCTGTACAAGAAATGCGCAAGTTATTTTAGTAGGGAACACACAATTGAAAAAAATCAGTTTTAAAAATCATTAATAATTATATCTAATTCATGAACAGACACAGATTTTAAGGGTTTCGTTGTGAATAGAGCATGCAATCTTTGTACAATCTCATGAAGTAATAATACCAATTAGAGTAGAACCAGTAGAACCAAGGGGAGGGGGGACAAGGTTTTGTTTTATACTGTGACGTATTAGGAAGGCTTAATTTATGAAAATAACCAATTTAATAAACAAGGCTTAGTATTCCAAGAAGGGTTGAAGGGCCGGAACTGGGATTTGTTTTTGTAAAATATCGTTTCTTTACAATTTAACAGATTGTAAAGCTGTTCTAATACGTCACAATAAAATGTAATCATTTACCACCACTTTTGATCCAAATTATCCCCCCCCTGGGGGGAGTGAAAAGATGGTTTCTGATTCATTGATTTTTACATTAACATCACCCGAATTTTTCGAGAAAATATACACCCCTGTCCTACCTCTAATATATCAGCTGAGGCTGATAAATGCTTGAGGATAACTCTGCCTTGGACTGTTACTATCTCTAGATGGACCAGGTAGGTGAAGGTCACATCTATCTCATCGTCATCCTAAATTACACGGCAAAATAAAAATGATTTTTCCCGCCATTAAAAAAAAAAATTCTCAATTTTTTATTTGATCTTAAAACGTTCTTAAAATTTTATTTTATCATTAAGTTGTTTAGTGTATACACTTTATTCCACTTATACCCAAATAATCTCATTAACCATAATTACTCACCTTAGTTTTGATTTTCAGAACAACTGAGAGAGGATGAACTCTAAATATCTTATTCTTCTTGTTCACCGTTTCTTCCTCATCCTCATCGTCTACATCCATTCTTTTAAAAGAATAAATTAATGTTTTCTTATTTACATAAAAAACTCTTCGCTCATTGAAGGTATTTTTTTTATTCGAAATATTTTTTTTGTATGTGTTCTTTAATTCCACCCCGGCCCAGGCACATGAGCTAGTTGTTCATATAATAATACTTCATGAAATATCATTATATATAAAGTTGTAATCTCTGGTTGTCGGTCTGATCATAACCCAGGAACCCCTGGACCGATTTGCCTCACATTTAAATTGTTTGATTGATTGTTTAATTGATTGATTGATTGATTTTGAGATTTGATTTGAGCTAAAATCGTAATTTACGACCAAGTGCAATTAAACGGCTGGAGTAAAAATGAGTAACCTTGGCGACGCTGGGTTCCCAAGCCAGTAATTAATATGATTATAATGTGGCGGATATGAATGTCTTCCTCACTAGGTCATCTCTCCTCTCAGCTCTCAGAAACCTACGCGGCAGATATACAGCTGCCGAGAGGGAGTTTTTGCTGAACCACGAGATATAGATTTTGATTTTATCTTTGTATGTTAGATAAAAATATGGTTCAGTTATCTTGAGTCGTTTTTCATTTTTACTCGATGGCTAAACAAAATAGTTTTTTTTTTACGGAGAACCCTTTAAATACATCAAAAGGATTTATTATATGGAAAAGAAGTCTGAATCATGTTAAAATAAACGAAGATGATTACCTAAACTTCTTGGCTTTGTTGAAATCTCCCTGGATCTCAACATTCAAGAGAGAATCCAACCCCCTAGCATACGCATCCGCCTGTAACATGGTAAAAATATTCAACAAGCCGATGGGCCGAACCTTCTGTTTGGTTAACACTTCAGAAAGCGCTAATTCGTTTCTTTTTCAAACAGAAAGAAAGCCTTAGTAGGGCCTTGAATTCACCACACATGAGTTGAACAAGTTTGAAGTTTCAATTAATACAATTAATATACAATTAAGTCTTAGTAGTTAAGCCCTTTACCTTCCTAAAGTCCGTTCAAAGTTATGACAAATTATAGTTTTGAATTTTTAAACCCAAAAATTGATCAAAACTAAAATGGCTGAGTAAGTATATTGTTATGATGGACTATGTATGGAAGAAGGTTTAATTGACTAAGAAGTACCTGAGAGAAGAGGATATAGAGGGGTTCTGGTAGAAGGACGGATAATCCTTTCTGAGCTCTCTCCAGGTCCAGTTTGAGATTCAAGGCCTCTTGAACCGGTCTAAACATCAAAATTTTATTTAACTTTTGAAACGGTCTAAACTTGTTTGAAATAGATTTTAAAAAAATAAAAATTTCAAAATTCCAAGGGCACCGGGCACTTAGGCTAAAATCATAATTCCAAGCGCAGGGTTAACGGCGTGAGTAACTATGACTATGAATATTGTATAAATCTGGGCAACCCCGGGTTCTCCAGCTAGTTATCATTATTCATTGAATCTTCACCTGGTGGCTTTAAGTATTTTGCCGAGCTGTTTACCGAGATCCTTGACCTTCTCCTCCTTATTGAGGACCTGGGTGTCCACCTGGTTCTTGGCGTCCTCCAGCTCCTTCAGACATTTATAATATTACAGGGGGTTTATCAATATATATAAAGTAGTAATCTCTGTTTGTCTGTCCGATGACAACTTAAAACCCCTGGACCGATTTGCCTTAAATGAAATAATTAGTACATTACTTATGAAAAGTATAGTACACTACCATATTAAATGGATAGATCGACCTTAGAAGTATTCTTCATCATTGGTCCGTAGACGGGACACTACTATACATTGATTGAAGAACTCGGGGAGAACCACGGGAATGTTATTAGCTTGATATTTTAGGTTGAGTGGGTCTATAGGGAAAAATAGCTGAAATCCTATTTTACGACCACTCGCGGATAAACAGTGTATTGTGTACCCTTGGTCACGCTGGGTTCTAAAGCTAGTTTATGTGAAGAAGTGATCTGTTTGTTTGGATGTCCGATCATAACTCATGAACCTCTGGACCTATTTCCAATAAGTTTGATTGAGGAACTCAATAAAACCAGGAGAATTTTTTTTAGTGTAGTGCATTTCTAAGGATTATTCCAGGCAAAGCTGGGTTACCAACTTACCAGGCTAGAATTTAATAAAATTCAAACAGAGAAAAAATAAATAACATATTTGGAATTCAATCTTCTATTTTTTAAACTTTTCACTTGAAAAAAACACTTATTTTCCACTAAAATTATTTTTTTTATCTTTTTACATTTCTGTATTTTTTATTGCATTCTGGGAACATATTTTCAAACCTGAGCTTCTGCGTCTAACTTCTTTCTAGTCTCTAGCTCCCAGGCTAACCGGGCTAACCTCTGCTGGTGCAGATCATCTATAAATATCATTTAGTTTAAAAATCTAAATCCTCCCATTGAATCCCGCCATCCGACGTTCAGGGACTGTGCCTAAAACCCGTACTTAAATCCCATAAATCTTAGGAATCTACCAAAATATAAGCCCACTTGGTTTTTCATCTATGAACCTAAGAAATCATGAAAAAATCTTTAATTTTTAGGAATTAAAAGTTATATTTGCTTGACCTAGATACTACTAGAATGGATATTCCAAGAACTATTGAGTCGACTTGACAATTGAATAGATAAACTTAAAACCCGTTCTAAAAGCTTTAGAGGTAAAAAATACACAGATTATTGAAGCTTGCAATATCATCATTTATCTATGCGTATTGCATTTATGTTGAAACAATTTCTTTTCGTCGTCTTTTTGAAAATACATCTGAATTATAAATTAACAGATAATTGGATAAGTAAGCGTGTTTACAAATGACGAAAAATTCCTTCCATCTAACCTTTCGTTTTCTCGGGCTGTGAGATTTCTTTCGGAGCCTCAGCATAGAACTGGTTTACATCAACCATGCTTACTGCTTCATCCGCGGACCAGAAGTTTATACACCTGGACAGTAGATAGTTTGTCAGAATGTGTATTTCTTAAAAAGTAATTTATCCCCTCTCCTCTATTTGAAAATTATTTATTTTGGATTTTTTTCGCTGAATTGGTGATAATATACGATTCTAAGGGAAAATAAATTTTTCAAATTGTTTTTAATCTTCCTTGACAGAAACAATCTCAAGAACTGACGAGGGTCAACCCAGACCGAAATATATTTTCAATAAGTGTGGAACTAACATCTACTTATTTTTACTCTACAAAGGTTTGGTCCATCACCATCACCGAATTTTAAAAATAAAATGAAAAGATTATATTCATTGGTATTTCACTGTAAGCTTTGTTTTATNCTAACAAATATCTCGGACGGAAGAAGATCCTAAGAACTATAACAAATATCTGGGACGGAAGACGATACTAAGAACTATAACAAATATCTCGGACAAAAGACACTTCTAAGAACATATTCAATGATTATTGATTACCTTAATCTCAAGCTTAGATCCATTCTTCATCTTCATATTATAGATTTCAGTGACTAGGTCCCTTAAATATAGATTTCAGTGACTAGGTCCCTTAAATATAGATTTCAGGGATTAGGTCCCATAAATATAGATTTCAGGGATTAGGTCCCTTAAATATAGATTTCAGTGACTAGGTCCCTTTAATATATTATGAAAAAATTCCTCATTGCCTCTGTGGCATGAATGCTAAAGTCACTTTTTAAAAGAAGAAACAATTATCAAATTTCCGAGATAATAAAGAAGGATATTTTATTTATCTTTCTTTGAATAGATTATAGATTATCAAACAAAGGTATAAAGGGAAGATCTCCAGTTTAAAATGGGGTGCTAAATATTAAATATTAAGTTTATCAATTACCTCATCTGATCACAGATTTCCTTGGACATCTTCTGATGCTCAGCTAGTGTACTCATACCACTCTCTTTCAGTTCAAGTTCAAGTATCTCGTTATATACATCAACCTTAATATATTCAAGTTCAAGTATCTTGTTATATACATCAACCTTAATATATTCAAGTTCAAGTATCTCGTTATATACATCAACCTTAATATATTCAAGTTCAAGTATCTCGTTATATACATCAACCTTAATATATTCAAGTTCAAGTATGTCGTTATATACATCAACCTTAATATATTCAAGTTCAAGTATCTCGTTATATACATCAACCTTAATATATTCAAGTTCAAGTATCTTGTTATATACATCAACAACCCCAATTTAGAGAATAAACCCTACAATTTATTTTCAATGGAGAGATAAAAAACACTCCAGTCCTTGTAACAATATAACATTTAGCATTCATAATTTTTAACATTTAGTTTATCAAACTAACCTCCGTATTAAAAAACTAATATTTATTATCTGATCTAATTTGATTACCTGGCTGTTCTAACTCTAAGTTTCTCCAATCTGTTTAATTTCTTCATCTTGACAAAGAGTAAACCAGCCTGAATTCTTTTCTCCTAAACAGAGTTTTAGAATGATTTAATTTCAACCAACTGGCGTCATCTAAAAATCTTTAACATTTCTTGATCATAATTCCAGGGGTATATATCAAATTCTCCTCCCCACCCCTCCTCTTGAATTTTTGTACTAGTTACCAGTTCATGTCCATTTTTTCTTTTCCCCAACATCTTCGTTCGTTATATACTCAACCATAATATATTCAAGTTCAAGTATCTCGTTATATACATCAACCATAATATATTCAAGTTAAGTATCTCGTTATATACTCAACCATAATATATTCAAGTTCAAGTATCTCGTTAAATACATCAACCATAATATATTCAAGTTCAAGTATCTCGTTATATACATCAACCATGATATATTCAAGTTCAAGTATCTCGTTATATACATCAACCTGAATATATTCAAGTTCAGTTCAAGGTTCAGTACCGTTGTGAATTAGGCAAATATATAACCGGTCACATGAAAATACTAGACAGTGTCTTTAAAAAAGACTATTAAACACAAAACACAGGACCGCGCCACTTTGTAGAAGTCATATTTAATTTTCTTAAATTTGCTGGGCATACTTTTAAATGGGATTGTTAGTATTGAAAATTTAACTTTTTCTTGCATATGATAATTCAAACCTCCAACCCCGTTCTTGCCGAATTCTCATCAACAATTGATAATTGCTGGTGTTTACCTTTTTCTGCTGTTTCTCCTCGGTTTTATCTGATTTACTCTTACCATCCTGCTTCACCTAAACGATAAGGGGATTAGTTTTACGTAAACTATGGAATCAACATCGGAATGTATTTTAAAATGCATATTATCAATGACATTTTATCTCGAAATCAAACCAAAAAGCTTCAACCTTGAGTTTAAAGACAATTCTTGTTAAAGTCTAAAACAAGCTACCCGACAAAGAAATCAAGTGTGCTCACTAGCTCCTGAACCTTTTCAAATCCCTTTACACCAAAACCTGGATGGAGATGTAGGCAATATTAACCAGATAACTCCACTATTGAAGTACCTTGGAGTCTCAAACAAACAAATAAAGACCATGCTAATTTTAATATTTTAGAGACAAATAAAGTCACAAAGCTAGAGGCTCGTTACTCTTTGATGGAGGCTCATGACGAACTTGCCCTCCCCCCCATTTTTTCCTAACTAGGCTGTTGTCTAGTAACAACTTTAGCTTATATTGTTGCTCTTTAATTCTTTGTTCTCAGCAAATCACAAATTTTCGCAGGTTTTCCTGTATAAATTGGTACATTATCAAAAATAATACAAGTACACATTTTTTTACCTGAAGTATATATTGATACCTGTTTAGCTGGTGGAGTAACTGTCTCTGTCTCATTATTTGTCTTCTCCTTCTCATCCTTCTTCCTCTTCTCCGCCTTTCCTTTCTCCTTCACTACAACAGGCGACATTCTTCTGGAAAGGAAATTATAAAAAAATATTGTTTAAAAAATGGTTAAATTATGTCATGCTGTCGATAAGGCTAGATCTCATCTTCTGCGCAATGGCAGAGGGCTGGCTCTCGTTGAGCTTAAAGACTGATTCGATGACAGAGAGTTCGGTAGAGGTGGTGTCTTGTCCAGTGAAAGCACACCAGTCGTTTACAACCATTCCTGAAATATTGAATTGTCATGTTTACCAATATGAAATAAAAAACGAATATAGGAGAGAAAAATGGCCGAATTTAACAGAACATCAAGAAATCTAAATTTTTGACCTCGAGTCATTTCAAAAGTATTCCGTTTTTCAGTAATAAGAAATCAAACCAACCTGCTCCGATAACATCTGAACCCCTGTTGACTGTCCCTGCTACCAGAGGGACCTGGAGTAAGGATGAGAGTTCCTCCTGATCTGTAATTGAGGTTTTAGGATGAACCAGACCTCCTTGATTAGACAGAGCACAGTAGGAACCAACTAATACGTTGTCAGCTATACTCTGACGGAACACTTCAACCTGGACATGGATTAATTAATTGATTATTATGTTTGTGATTCTTAACTTGATTTAAGGATACATTAATTTGATTTATTAACTGATGAAGGGACACCTAGATGGCTAAAATTTATGATCGAAATAGGAATTATCAATGATTGCTTTTTACTAACGTCTAAGATATTTGAAGGATTGTATACCTTAAGAACATCAGCCAGTATTTCCTCTGTCTCTCTATCCAGATCAGGGTGCACCAGAGCAACATAATCATTGCAAGCAATAACATTTCCTGGGATAATGATATAATCAGGTTTGTAGAGTTGTTGTCCGATTTACAACAGAGCCCGAAAAATCTCTTTGTCTAATCAAGAAAGCATGTTGTTTAAATCTATAATATGACTTTGCCCTTTCTGGTTCAGAAAAGGGTACCATAGTTCAATTGAAAACATAAAAATGAAAAATTGTTATATCTTAAGGGGAGTGACCGGCAATGTATGGTAGTTGAACTGAGAATGTAGTATTGGGGAGAAATTTTTAGCATTAATTTGAAACATCTAAAACGTTTTAATGATGTATAATTACTGATTTTGAGCGCAAAGTTGACGTTCAAAATCTTCCATTTGGGTGGTTTTATTTTGAGAATCGATTTTTTTTATTATTAAATAACGACGATCAAAAATGTAAAAAAAAATTTTCAGTAAACTAATTAGATGTTTAGGAACATATTTCTCAATTGAAATTTTCTCAATAAATCAATGTTAGAATTAATTATTTCTTTTTCATTAAGAAATAATTAATTCTAACATTGATTTATTGAGAAAATTTCAATTGAGAAATATGTTCCTAAACAGATTCCTTCAAATTCTTCAAATGTCGTCTTTTCATTAAAAAATGGCAGGAAAACTACAGAAAATGGGTGTGAACAATCATCCCTCAAAAATAAACAAACCATGAGGATTTAAAAGATTTAGTTTGCCCTTTTTCTGAACAAATATGCACCGTAAAAACGTCTCATAGGTCTCAACTGATTCCTAAATTATTTCTCCACAGTACTACAATCTCAGTTTAACTTCCATAAATTGCCGGTCACCCCCTTTAATTTCATTTTGCTATTTATACAAGTCACCCGTATCAGTGAATTACCATTATTTTGTATGATTAACGAAACAAATGGTCATTTGAACTTTTCCTGCTTTTTTAGTCCATTTCCCCCCAAACAAAATCCATCAAAGAGGGGAAACGATTTTAATCAAATTCAAATTCAAATTCAAATTCAAATTCAAATTCAAATTCAAATTCAAATTCAAATTCAAATTCAAATTCAAATTCAAATTCAAATTCAAATTCAAATTCAAATTCAAATCAAAACAAACCAAACCAAACCAAATCAAATCATGGACTGCAGAAATTGCTTATAGCTTTAAAATACGGAATGAAGTTTGAATCCCTATCTATTTCCAGGGTTCTCCGCCCTCATCTAGTGTTTAACTAGTTTGCTACCCGACTAAGATAATATTTACCAAGAGCAGAGAGACGTTCTTCAACTCTCTGAATTTTAACAGTGTCAGGTAGAGAGTTCCTAATCTGCTGGAGTTCCTGAATATTTGGAAAATAAATTGAAAATATTGAAGCAAAAAATTTAAATCAAAATAACATATTTATCTAATGGGGTTTAAGGGATGAAATGTATTTCTCCAGAAAATTACAAAATTTACATTACAAACATAAATTAGTTCGTCGACGAACGCTAATTTTTTTTTAGCTTTTTCTTGCTCAAAAATATATATCACTGTTCATGAATAATTTGATTTTTAACTGATCTCAGAAAATATTAAGAATATAAGATACATCAAGTCCATGGGAAAATAAGGTCAAAGAATTCATGTCCTATAAATTAAAGTCTTTATTGAAGCATTCATTAAGACGCGCTAGTAAAATAAAACGTTGGATTAATTAATTAATGTATCAATTCCATAAAAATATTCCAGGACTGTACCTGATCTGTGCAACTCATTGGTACTAAGAGACCGTGCCTGTTTCCAACTGTCATTCTCCCTAAAAATACAAATATATTCAAGGGGAAATGTACATTGTACAAACCATGAGATTGTTTCACAAATGATCATATTTCTAGGATGATTTGGTGTAGAAAACTGTGGACCCCTACCCCTCATGTGCAGTATCGTGTAATTAATGGGGTTTTTCTGGCCCCCAGTTGACTTCTCTCCCCACCCCCCACCTTTCGATACGCATGTTAGGTTAAGATATGTAGATACGGGGGCAGGCGGTATTTTCTACGATTTTGAAGATTATTTATATTATTATTATTATAAAATTGGCTTACCAAGAATGCTGCAGCTTCCAATTGAAGTGTAGACAATAGGAATGACATCATTAAGTTCGGATTCAAACACACTAGAAGTCGACACATCAATATCATTCTTAGAATTCAGAACATAAAGACTTAATGGATCCTGATTCCCTGATCCGTGAAAACAAGTGAATCCACCGGATCCGGATGGTGCATTATGGTAGTGGATCCGGATCCAAAATGGTGTATAATGGTAGTGGATCCGGATCCGAATGGTGCATTATGGTTTTGGATCCGGATCCAGAATAGTGTATAATGGTAGTAGAAATGAACTAAAAAATGAACATCAAAAAGCAAGTTTTCTATATCATTTTCCTAAATTTAATTATTTTCCCCTAATTCAGGAACCTCTAAAAAAAATGTGCGCTCCTTGCAAACATAGATAACTTGTGGGGACTAATATGATTTTAAAAAAAGAGGGAGGGGTAATTTTTTTAAAGAAAAAATACACCCCTGGGATCCAGGAGCAAAATGTCAATATGTTTAATTTTTTGCTTTTTTACAAGTAAATCTTTAAACTTTCCAAATAAATAATTTTTCTCAAAAAATGTAACGACATTGAAGCGACTTTCCTGTAGAAATTTGCAGATCCGCCGATAGCGACCAAACAATACGAGTTGGTCAGCTTAGAGAACACCCCAACCTCGTTATTATTCTCGTAGTTAGTTCTTACAACGGCCATTTTGTATTTGCAATATCTGAAACTGGAACTTTAAATGCGCGAAGTACATACATAGGCTTCACTGTTGCACCCAGTACTTGGTACACTGTACGACAATATCAAATTTACAAATGTGACATCTAAAAAATGGGTTGGTGGTTTAACAAACTCCAAAATTAATTAGATTCTTTCACTGTTTGGTGTGGGTTTTCAACTATGTAAAGATTTAATAATTTTATATAATTCCTTCGACGATGTGGGACAGTTTCACCGACTCCAACATATATCTGAAAATATTTAACTCAATAATTTAATATTCGAGAAAAAGAATGAATAAAGATGGATCCTGGATACTGGATACTGGATAGCCGGCCCCATGAAAAGCAACTTTGATTAAATGAAATCTACACTTAGAAATTTATCTACGGCTGAAAAAGAAGCAAAATAATTCTTATCATTGGAATTTTTGATACTTTTTACAGTGGTGTTAATTCCCAGACTTAACCCGATGGAGTGGGGGGGGGGGGAGGGCAGGATGGGTCAAATAAAAGACTATATTTTTAAAATTTAAACATGTTCTCCAAAAACACTGACAAACAATAGAAATTATTGAAGGGGGGGGGGCAGAATAACTTCCGATTATCTAAATATTTGTTTTGAGATAAATACCTGATTTCATCTGGAGAAGCCCCGTCTCCCTCCAGCTCAACCCAGGCCATGAGGAGCTTCAGGCAGATCTCTGTATCCAGCAGATCATCTCCTTGCTTACACTCCTCAACCTTCTCATTACTTAGTCCCAGCTTAGGGATCAGAGTAGAATAGTGAGGAGCCAACTTTACTGCTAGAGACGCAATCTAGAAAGATAAGTAAATCTAAGGAATGTCAGAAAAACTTGAACCAAAAATAAGTGGAACAACTTACGAATCTCTTTTTCTTTTTGCAGTGAGAGTAGAGGATACGATTAGCTTATTACGCCCCATTAAAATATCCCAGCTTTAAGGTCGGATTTAGTTAACAACGAGAATAAGTTGAACTAGGTATGGCTTATTAAACTTCAAAGATGTACTTCAGGATCCGAGAAAAAAATCAACTACTTCTCTTTCATCATAAATTCCGATCTCAGATTAATTATCAATCTTTGACCTGATCGTCTGTTAGTTTGAGCGCAGCCCCGGAGTCTCCGTTTCCATTTTCTCCGTTAGTGTGGGTCTCCGACACATCTTCATCCATACCAACATCGTCCTTGGGTAAAAAATCATAAGAAAGAAACCAATTAAGTCGGTGTCTTAAATTAAAAAACCAACTGCCCATCTAGCAAATATTATCCAGATTCTCTAAAAACATCTCTTCCCTCCCCCCAGGGGCTAAATCACACGGATTCTTTGAACAGATCTCCCCCCGTAAAAAAAATTCCCGCTTAAGCTAATATTATCAAAAAAAAATACTTTCCCCACCAGAAGCTAATATTTTCCAGATTTTTTAACAATAAGCCCCCAGAATCTAAAATTATCCGGATTCTCTTCAGTAAAACTCACCATATCTTCATCGACTCCAATATCTACCGCTATCTTTCCGATCATCTCCTTCAGGTACTCAGGCAGCTTAATTTAACAAAATTTTGAATTCTTAAGGGACTATACGACTAATTTCAAATGACCTTCCATGCATAGATGGCAATGCCCGATTTACAATGGTACCCTTGAAACCTTAATCTGGTTTAAAATGTGAAAGATGCCGTCGCTTTAGTGACTCGAAAAGCTTTTAATTCTGATAACTTATCCATTGCTTCTTTTAAGCAAGAATTCTGCCAGTCATTTTTGCAGAAAACCCGAAATGAAAATAAACATTTTTAAGAAACAAAAACATGGATATCTAATTAATACTTAGACAGACAAAGCTTTCAAGGGTACCGTTGTAAATCGTGCATTGTCATCTTTGTATGGAGGGTCACTTAAACTTACGCTTAGAGTATCTTTAAGATCATTATTGAAATTGAAAAATTATACTTAATTTTCTTAGATTTATTTGTATGCAAGTTTGAAATACCAAAATCATTCTTAATTAGCTTTTTTAAAGCAATCATTAAAAAAAATATAATCCGACTTTTCTTACGAATTGGAAATCGTTGTGTTCAAGATTAAAGAAAGAAAGTGGGTGAACTTTTAATTTTGCTTTAGTATCAAAATATTACCTTTGATATTTGTTTGTTTCCTACGAGGAAAAAATGCTGTGATCTCCTAAACCAAAAAAAATATTAGTCCCATCAACAATAGTGCCGCGGTATATATTTTCAGGAATTGCATCATTACCCAACCCAACCCATTCCTTTAATTTCCTTGAAGCTATAGAGAAGGAAAAATTGACGCCTTTTTGATACTTTTTACTCTGTTTATTTTTTCATAATTTTCATTTTATAATTCCCCTTTCTTTTTAACATTTCATAATATTTCATATAGTATATATGTTGATTCATTTTATAATTCCCCCTTCTTTATAATATTTCATAATATTTCATATAGTATATATGTTGATTCATTTTATAATTTCCCCTTCTTTTGAACATTTCATAATATTTCATATAGTATATATGTTGATTCATTTTATAATTCCCCCTTCTTTATAATATTTCATAATATTACATATAGTATATATGTTGATTCATTTTATAATTTCCCCTTCTTTTGAACATTTCATAGTATTTCATATAGTATATATGTTGATTCATTTTATAATTCCCCCTTCTTTATAATATTTCATAGTAAATATATCGATTCAACTCATGAATACCCTTTTAAACACTCAGTTAACCGGGAGGGAGATTCTCTCTGTCAGCTATTAACTATGTATTTAATACAGCTGTTTGGCAACTAGCAGACAAAAGGAATCAGACCGGTGACATGGCTCAAATTTGGTCGTGTGTCCAAAGTTAGAATTAAACTATGTCAGGCTAAAAAGCCTTCACCTAGAATGGATTGTGATGGCATACCCCTTGTAGGTCAAGGAGCTATTGGACGCATCCCTAGCTGTATGATATGATATGATGATACAGGAGTTCTTCATCTATATCTATGTGAATATTGTACACCCATTACGCAAAAAAAAAGTCAAATCTGCCAAAAATAGTATCTTAATTAGCAAATAAATCTACTAATAAGTGAAGTGACACTGCCCGAAAGTGAACCCTTGAATTATTCTTATTGCAGCATATTTAGCGTGCAATGCGTATTGCAAAATGAATGGAAACCGGTTGAACAAACATTCAATTTAAAAAAGACAAGACGCGGCGGGATTATTAAAAAATATAACCCAAGGATGGGATTTTATGAGAGGGCGCTGAAAGACCTACAGCTTGTTTAAATCCTAAATCACTGATTTAAAGTTAAAGCTCCAGGATTAGCGTCCTCTCAAATTTCATTCATTTTAATCTCAATGCCACATTTCCAGAACCCGCCTACTTCTGGGTTAGACAATTTTTATTCGTCCATTTTCTAAGTTGTAATTTGAAACCCCTCGACATACCTCGACATTAATCTGAGTGCTCTCCATCCCCATTCTCCCTTATTCACCTTCATATAAGCTTCCTCAACCTAAAAAGCATTTTTCCAACATTTATCAAGAAATCGGGCAAATTTATATATGACAAACAGGAATTATTGATCAATTTCGGATCAAGACAGCAAAATTCTATATTAGACTAAAATTGAAATTAATAAAAATAAACATTTACATATTGTATAAAATAAAATGAAATGTTTTTTTACCTGGTTTTTAGGGTTGATCTCCTGAATTGCTTCGGAAAAGAATTCCTCTAGACTTGGAAGGAAGTTCCGTTCTATATCTTTACAAGCCTCTAAATAATAACATGGGTCAAGGGTCTCAAATCTTTTATATTGACGGAATAAATCTTTTATATTGACGGAATAAATCTTTTATATTGACGGAATGAAACTTTTATATTGACGGAATGAAATGAACCAATTCTTAATCCCAGCGAGTTATCTCACTTCGTAAATTTAAAAATCTACGGCTTTTGGAATGTTTTCTCGCAGGGAATGCAGTTGTAACATACTATTATTGTAAACTGTATCCATGTTTTTCTCTTTAAAATAGATTTCTTTAAGTACTGGTCTATAGAAAAAACAGCAAAAACAATGAAGGAAAGCAGAATTAAAAAAAATTTTAACTAGAAAAACGGCGACATTCACATTTATAATCAAATAAAGGTTTTAAGAAAACCTCTGTGAATCGAGCAGTCACTATTGATTAGTAGGGTCAATTGATATTACAACCACAGTTCCTTTCGGGAATAATTGATTAAGATGAAAGCCTAAAAAAACTCGCATCTTACCTAGATTGTCGGGATTTAAATTCCAAAGTTTAGTCAATCCTTTATTCCCTAGATTCACCTCTCCACGTTTAGTTTCCTCTCGAATCTGGAATTAAAGCAATGAAAGTACATATAAAGAGGGGAGGGTTTTGTTTACATTTTACTGTGACGTAAAAGGAGAGCTCAGGAACTTGTTTTAACCAAAACGAAGATTGTTAACAAGGAGGGAGGGAAGGCACCCCGCACCTTTTTACATCCGAACCACACATGATGTAACAAATTACCATTATTTCTTCCCATAGCGCTTTTTTCGTCCGGGCTTTACTTCTGCGTTTTAAATGTTTTTTTTGCCTTTGTGACAGTTTCGGAAGTATATTAATAAAATGCATAAATACAGATAAATCTTTGTACTCATAAGCACTTCTGTCTTTCTGTATATGTGCTTGTAACCTTCACTTTAAAGATTCATATTCTAAAACACATGAATTCTAAACATTTATCTTAGCTTGGCAATGAAAAATACTTCCTTTTTTCTATATACTTCAATCCTTTAAACTGTAAAGCCACAGCCTTTAAATCAGACGTCATGAAAACCTCGTAAAAACCCACTTTAAGCCAGGCCCTTGCGCCATTTCTATCAACTAATAGGATACCAGAATGTGAAGTGCAACCCTTTTTAACCAATGAAACCATGTATATTGAGGCTAAATGTTTGTATAGTATCACATATATATTTTTTGCGCAAACTGCAACCCTTTGTGATTTAGTAAAAATACCATATATGCATTTATGTATTGCCACTCTACTCTAAGCTTTTGTACCATCAAAAAGTGAAATATATCTTCTGACAGTTAAAAAGTAAGTTTTTATTGTTATCATAATTCTGTCTTTGTAGAGTCTGTAATCAAAGAGTTTCTTGAGAGTCAATTAAAGAATGTTAAGTTATTGAAAATCAAATATTTAGAAACCATTCTAAGAGATTTAAGTTAAACTTTTCGTAAGTAGTCTTAAAAACACTACGTGGCTAGTCTTTATTTAGACATATCAAGAATAGAATAATTTGAGTTTAAAAAGTATATAAGTATAAAAAAGAATAAATACTTCTATAGTTGGAGATTTTAATTTAAAATTCAGATTTAGAACGCTCTAAAATCAGACTTAATTTGATTATACAAATTACACAAATATTCTTTTAGATTAAAAAATATTGAGCTCTAAAATGACATACCTTATAACACTTTTTTTCATATTTAGTTAACGTCATAATTAATATTGTTTGATTTTCTTTAAAAAGCATTTTAATATATTTAGTAATAAAATTTTTTGTCTGTGATAAAGTTTTAAATTTATTTTTTATGTTAATTTCTTAGGGCTGAATAGCATGAATAAGCGACTGACTATAAGATTTAAAATGTAAAAATGTAAATAAACCTACCAACTCGCCTAGCCCTGCCTTCCGTTTCCTGGGATTAGAGATGAGTTTAGGTTTCTCATCAGCAGTCTTCTTCTCATCATCCTGATCATCATTATCATCATTATCATTGTTGTCACCATCATTACCATTGTTATCATCATAATCATTGTAGTCATCATCATTATCAATTTAGTCATCATAATTATCATTGTAGTCATCATTATCTATTTTTACTTGATTATATCCAGAAGCATTCAATTTTCCATCATGTTTTATGGCCTTAAATGAGTAGTCTCAATTATCAATTTCTAACAGTCAAAGAGGTGGTTCTGTGACTACTGACTAATTCTCAGAAGCTTCTTTAAACTAGTTTGGCATCGTTTGGTAAGCAGCATTCTTTAAAATCTCCTGACATAACTTAACCTAGTTAACGCTCATTTCATAATTTTCTCAAGATTGAAGCTTTTTAGAGAAATATAAATCTCTGAATCTAATTTACCTCCTTTACAGTGGATTTGATAACAAAGCTGGGACAACCTTCATTCTTCCATCGACTCCAGATCAGCTCCCTGAGCAGACAATTAGTTTAATTTTGCAACTATTTAAACATTAAAAAAAGGGAACTACAGACACTGGACGTCGAACCGATATTCTTTTGAATGCTCCTTTAAAGGCAATGTTCAACATATCTATCTTCAGTTGACCCAAGTGTAAAACTAATTAAACAAACCTACGCAACGCAAATAATGTACGCTGTTCATCTAAAGTTTGTTGACCTAAGCTACTTAACTCAAATATTATATACTGTTCAAAAACTGCATCGTCACTAATTTAAAGACGAGTCACTTAAAGGGACTGTACAGGAAAAATGAAAGGGGGTATAGGCTGAAACCTTTACACTTTAGGAGTTGATTGCGACCTATTAGAACTATTATAAAAGAAATCTGAAAAAGAGGTCCCGTTATGAACCCCCCAGACCGCTGATGTTCCTGTCTCGAGAAATTGATATAAAACTGTGTCAACGTTATACCAAAACTCACATATATGAGATGTGGTATAGGAATCAAAGTTTGAGACAGATCATATTCAACAAATACACAACCAATCTGAAAATTATGATACCCAAGAGTAGCCTAAACAGCTTAGGTACGCTCCTATTATAATAATAATAATAATTATAATATTATTCATTTCTAATAGATTTAATTGATAATTTAATTGATACGTTTGTATCACGAGACCTGAATTTTCAAATGACAGTGCAGTATCATGGTCACGTGTCTCCGGCTCTAACACTTTAGGTATAAATGTTAAAGTAAAATAGTCACCTCTTCTTTCTAATTTGGCCTTAAAGCTTAAAGTTAGATTAAGCTGAGGCCGAATTTAAAGAATTTAATCCGCGGCTTAAAAAGACATGACTCAAATATGGTTGGTTCCACGTAAAATTGTATTGTATTTGAGACGCGTCTAAAATTCATTAAATTCTGACACTGGTTTTTTACCTTTTCAGAATAGATTTAGCTGAGGATGCAAATGCTTTTCCATTTGGAGGAGTTTCTTCAATTAGTTTAAATATTTTCTTCCTGTGATCATCAATCCACTTGGTCTGATCACCACTTAACACCTGGTATAATTGATATTAATTTAATATTTATTTAAAAACAACCGAATTTTTAATCCTTTTTTTAAACTTATTGTTGTTAAGGATTCCATCTGTAAGATAAGATAAGATAAAATANAGAGCCCAGCTTTACATTTTAGGTTGTTATCTGTCTATCTATCTATTATAATTCCCTGTCCCCACGAGTGAAAGCATATGGACTCACTCATCCTACCGACCCTTAATACCCCTTATCGGAAATATTTGGACCAGGAAATTAGCATGCCCCGTGCAATGATACAGTTATGTGAGTGTAGGATAGCGGGTCAAAACGGCTGAACCGATCGGGTCCAAATTTTGTGTAGGACTCAGGGGAGGTATAAGGATGATAAATTTTTTTTTAAAAATTTGCCTCCAACAAAATTCTATTTTGATTAAATTTTGAAAATCCACATTTTGAAATGGAAGATGGGCGCGAAGCGCCCTAAAAGCCTAGTATAGTTACTATAGTTATATTCCAATTCCAATTCCAATTCCAATTCCAATTCCAATTCCAATTCCAATTCCAATTCCAATTCCAATTCCAATTCCAATCCCAATCCCAATCCATGATTAAAGAATACCTAAAATTTGAATCGTTAAGCTGCAATGAGAGAAGATTCTGATTTGTCAGATACTTGGCAAAGTATTGATCCAGGAAGGTGGCGGCGAGCTCCCTGCCTGGGATAATTTCCTCCTTCTTGCTGGCCCTGGTGTCGAGTTTCCTCTTTTGGAATATGTGCAGGATATCCTGGGTGTATTCACAGAACTGTTTCCATTGCTCATCCTGGTAACACTGGGTAGGATTCCTGTTAAAAGAAAACTTCATGGAAGTTATCATATTTTTTTTCTCGAGAAATAAGAAATAATAATAAAATCTGAAAGGGAAGCCGACATGAAACCCCCAGACCGCCCTCAGGGTGCAGCAGGTTGAATAACAAAGTTTTCGTAAAAATCATACTGTGGGTTTCATCAAGTAGAATTAGGGGGGAATTTATTTTGAGGTCTAGTTTTGAAGATTTCCATTACTCGGAAAATGGAGTTCCTCAATGGCCAATACAATCTTCTGTAAGATGTTAAATGCTTCACGTTTAACTGCGTTGTCTTTTGAAAAATTGCAGGAAAATGTGACCTTTATTCTATAATTTTAGAACCAACAAATGGTGACCTTTTAAGCTCTAAACCAAGTGACAATGATTCAAATAAATCTTTATTCACCTGAAATAGTCTTGAAGCTGCCAAAACTTGAAATAAAGTTTAAACTCGCGAGATTTTTTCTCCTCTTTAGTTTCCTGGGCAGGTTCCGTCTTATCTTCAAGCACTACTTTCTCCTGAATCAATCAATCAATCAGCCAACCAACCAATCAATAATGAAAATGCAATTGATCAATACGAACTTGTATTCTCAAATCAAACTAAGAAAATAATTTTTTGAAAATTTTTATCAAATTCATAAAGGTACACATGGAACCTTAATCTGATCCTAAATGTGGAAGATTTTTACTGGCTCAGCAAGCGTTTAATTCTGATTATTTCACCATCATTTAAGCAAGAAATGCGCAAGTCACTTTTGCAGAGAAAATGCAAACGATAATAAACGTTAAAAAAACACACATATGAATAACTATTTCATACTTAAGAAGACACAGCTTTCAAGGGTACCGTTGTAAAACGGACCTTGCCATCTTTCCATGGAGGGTCACTTAAACTTACGCTTAGAGTCTTACCTCAACAATTAACTCTATTTCCATACACTCGTTTTCACTCTTGTTCCCCTCTTTGTTTTTCTCCTCTGTGACCTCCATCTCTTCCTCTTTGACCTCCCCGGCTTTAGCCTCCTTCTCTTCATTCGTCTTAACATCACCATTCGCAGTCTTTTCCTTTTCCGCTTCGACTTTAACCTCCACTCCTTTCTCCTCTTGGATCGGCTCTGGTTTATCAATGACCTCCTCTTTCACAAAAGTGGTCACATTTTCTAAATTAAAGTATGATGGTTAGAAAACTATAAAAAAAAATATGAAAACAAATTATAAAGATGAAAAAGAAACAGAATTTGGGCTCAGAAATTTCTTCAAATTCTCATGAATGAGAAAAACCAACTGGAGGAGCAGTTAATTAGCAGTAGATAAACTAGAACTTCTCTGGGCTCCAGTAACAATGGTCATCAACGTTACTCAGTTAAAATTACATATTATTTTTTTTTAAATACTGAAGTTACCTAGGTTGAACTCTGAGATAACATTAAGAGCAGATCTCTCTGAGAACGGGAAGAATTTAGAGAGAAAGAGAAGAATTCTGCCACAGAACACAGTATTCTGGGTTCGGGAGAGTCGGCGTAACAGATCGTTACAGATACGTAACAGATTGTTCCTGATGAACATATAGAATCCAGGAGACCGCCAGGTTGCAACCTGGTGATATTTGGATTATCAAAATACAGAAAATTGCGCAAAATTACTCATTTCTGATGTCAAAATCAAACTGAACAGTGGCAACAAGACGTAATGGAGATTTTATTTCGTTAAAAATGTTACCATATGTCTGGTGTATGTTTTTTAAGATTTTAGAAATTATTTGATAAAGAATTTTGCAACGATTTTGATAGAAAACAAACCAAGTCAAAGAGTACCAATTACCAAACAACGGGTATAAATCGGCCGTTCAAATATTATTCAAAAATATATAGACAGGGGTTAATACAGGATTTTCAATAGTTAAAAATAATAAAATCTTACTTGGTAAAAGAAAAAACTGCAAGCTAAAATAAGAGCTTGAACTGTGAAATTAAAGGGACTGAAAGCGTAATTTCAAGTGACATCCATGCAAAGATGGCAATGCCCGATTCACAACGGTACCCTTTAAAGCTATGTCTGATCAAGTATGAATTAGATATTTATGTCAATAATTTTGAAAACTGAATGTTTCAATTGTGGCTTCTGTCCAAAAGTGACTTGCGCATTTCCACTGGAGGAAAACATGGGAATTATCACAATTTAACGTAAAAAAAGCCTAACAATAACTTCCACATTATTAATTCGATCTAAGTTTCATAGGTATTGTGATTCGGACATCGTCATCTTTGCATGATGGGTCACTTAAAATTGCACTTACAATACCTTAAAATATATATATATAAAAATACCTCTCTCTCTACTGCTTTGAAGAGAATCTCGCATGAGGAGAGAGGAAGAAGGTCCAATATATCCGCCAGGCCTTGGATCGGAACAAGAGGATTACACAGTTCCTTCTCAGACGCCTGGGATAGAAAAATGCTTCAACGGGGATAGACACAAGTAAATTTGCGTCACTAACAATAATTTTTCTTCTTCCTTTTTTGGCAACTCCAATAAGTTTTCTTGAGAATTCTGCATAAATCAAAATGCGTTTTAAGTCGAGTAACTTTTAACACTTTTATCTATCAGTTAAGAAAAATGCGTCAAAAGATACGTCAAAATAAAGAACTAAAAATTAATACAGTTTAATTTTTAAGTTGGTTTAACCATATCAATAAAATCAATAATATTTATGTATTCATGTCATTGTTGTCGAAAATATTGTACTTAGAAACAAATTAATTTACCTGTATTGAAAAATCCACAAATTTGTCTACGAGTTCAGGTTTAAATTCTTTATTAGGTTTTCCGTCGGGGAACAGCTGATCCGTTAAAAACTCACGGAAACACTATAGAAAAAACAGTATTGTATATTTTTTGAAAAAATATTCGGTCTCAAGGGTTTTAAATTGTGGAGATAACTAATTTTAAAGGGAAAATGAGTTATCTGTGTTTATAAATAAACATTGAAAACAATTTTTTTTTAAAAGAAAAATTTAAAGCCAATTTCTTTTTGGCTCTAGAACTAAAAAACAAGTTCTATATGACAGTTAAATTTTACTGGTATTACAGGATGGTTTCAATCAAGTACTATTTTAACATGTATATTGGATAGAATCCTCTTTAAATTCTTTATGGGATTCAATTTTCTTGTAATAGGGAAATTGGTTAATGATATTTTAGAAGAAATTACTCAAATTGCTTGTTTAAAAAGGTAAATACAAGGAGGGTGGAGAAAACTTTTAAAAACATAAAGAATTGATTGCTTTTATTCACCAGCTAGTGATGTGCATTCAGTTAGTTCGTTTTCAGTTCGTTGTTTGACTGTATTTTCTTTCTGGTCGCCATAGTATAAATATAGCAGATGATTAATGTAAACATTTGCTTCTCTTATACCAGAACAAATATTGACCCGAACAGAAAATGTATGCCAAAAAACTAACCAGAAACGAACCAAAACCAAACGTGTAATAACTATCGTTGTGCAAAAACTTGGGAAAAATTAACACCACCATAGTTACCTGATCGAGGATATGCTTCTTATGATCCGTATCACTTGTTGCCAAACTATTCCAGGTCTTTTCCAATTCATTCAAACTGTTCTCCTATATTTATTGGTAAATAATTCAACAGTTTTGAACAAAAAAGGGAGTGTTCTGGAGAATAAAGAGTGGGATTAAGATGAATTATAATTAAATCATGAATCATTTATCAGCACTGATTTCTTTAGTGATTGATCAAATCAAATTACTGGGGGAAAAATTAGGTCAACGTAACTTCAAATAAAAAACTCTTTTACATTAATTTTACTTTCGTTTTCTTTATTTTGCAAAAAAAAAAGAATTTTGATATGTTCGATAAAATTTTGAAGTCGAACCATGGAAAAAAAAAATATTCTTAATTCACAGAATGTTTTTTTTGGAAATTGCCGATTGTACTAAATAAGCTTTCAAACCCCTCTTACCTTAAAGCAGGTATTGAGTGCTTTAGAGAACTGTGTTCTAGCTTTCATATACCCTAGAATCGGAATATCCTCCTCAACTGCAGGAGTTTCATCATCGGCCATCTTTAATTTGAAATATTAACAGATGAATTCAAATTCATTAATATAATAAGGTCTGTCCAAATGGACCCCCCCCCTCCCCCGACATCGATTTCAACTATTTTTAATTATAATAAGTTCAAGGCAATTTCTGGGCCAAGCGCCACGGATAGGGCAGGCTTGGGGACCACGCAATGCAGTCTCATGTCAAACGTTGAACATGTTAAAACGTATAAGCGCAATGTACAACATTGAAGGGGGGGGGTAAATTCAGAAGGTGTGGGTCCGTCCTAGTATAAGATTTTTGGATTCCCCCACCCCTCCTATCAATTTTTTACATGAACATTTAATTTCAGCAAAATTATCATTTTTTCTTTTTTTATTATTTTAGGGTTAGGTTAGGTTAAGACCATTTTTGAACCGAGCGCTGCGGCTAAGACAGGCTAGGGGGTAGAGCGCTGAGGCTCGGACAGGCTAGGTGGCCGAGCGCCGCGGCTATGACATGCTAGGGGGCCGGGCACTACTGCCACATGACCCAATATATCCATATGTTACATGAGATCCATGTACAAATATTGATAGCAGGGGGGGGCGGGGGATTCAAAACTCGTTAGTTGATTTCCTAGGGTAAGGTTTTTGGACCCCCGCCCCTGCCACCTCCCTACTACCAATTTTGTACATGGATTTCATTGGTACTGTAGCCGCAACGCCCGGCCCCCTAGCCTGTCCTAGCCGCAGTGCTCGACCCAAAAATTGTCTTAACCTGACCTAACCTTAAAATAATAAAAAATAAATAATAAAAATTTTGCTGAAATTGAAACTCAAATGGTCATCTACAAATTTGAGGAGAAGGGGGGGGGGGTCCAAGAATCGTTCTCTAGGACAGACCCAAACGTTCTCTAGGAAATTACCTAAAGAAAATTATCCGGAAATTTTAGATCCGATTTCAGAGAATACGGAAGACAAGATCACTATACATTATTTAATTTCTATCAATGGATTACAACTTACAACTATAATCCTTTAAGTATAAAAGAAAGTGCAGTGTCCGTTTCGATGGCCGTTTGATCAACAATTTTAAAACTTTAATTTTCATTTTAATTGGTTTGCTGCCCTAAGTTGTAAATATTTCGCAATAAAATTGCCGGTTGCGTTGTATTGCACAATTCCCAAACACGCACCGAAAATTTTATTTTAAAGAATAGTACGCGGCCATTTTGCAGATATTTTTGAAAAGACGATATTTCATAACTTAAGTGCTGTGGTAACCGACCTAACGAATATCCAACCTACTTTTAGGTTCATTTAATGGAATTTTCCAGTATTTTAATGAAACCAGCGTCTGTACTAAATTGTATTTATTTTACTGACGTAACTGGGGCTAAATCATTAGCGCCGTCTCCCGCTGTAAAATTACAAAACGGTTGTGCATGCAAACATGGTTTATTAAATTGTAAATTAAATTGATTTCAATTTTCTGTCATTAACAAACTTGATATCAAATGAAGGCTTCCTTTCCGACCTTTCAGCATTTACCTTCTCTGTTTTATTTCATAGTCAAAAATCACATGTATATCACATCACATATATTTATATTACCTGAATTATCAGTTAAAATTGTATTATACTGATGAGAAGATGTGAAGAAGAGTTTTACTTTTTTCAGTGTTGCACAAATTGCATCTCTTCTTGCTTGGATGATAAGTGGATTCTCTGGATGCATGTACAAGCCATTAAACCATTTTATTGTATAATATTTTTTGCTCCTTAGATTTGCATATTTTCGATTTTTTTAAAGAAAGTTAAATTGCAAAGAAATGATTGTAAATGTAATATACTAGCGTTTAAAAATAGGCAATATATATTAAAAAATCTCGGAATTTTTAGTTGCTCAAAGTAATTTGACTACTGAGGATCATCATGAGACGCAAGACATTTTGTTTAATATTATTATGATGTGAATTAAATGACGAATGTGAACCTTAAAAAGCTGAAATATACAAGGGTGTCTCAAAAAACACTAAATACTAAAACAGCGTTTTTGAGACACCCTGTATATATACAGGGTTACCTACAAAGAATGAGACTGTAAAGACGACCGAAAACTCTAAAAATATGACGATTTGAAGCTTGATTTTTATATATCTGTATTGATCGATATTGAGTATTTTGATGATTTACTAAATGATTAAGCACAGAAAAAATCCAGTTTTGGCCAATAAAGAACATGCTGAATGGAAGGAAACAGATTAAACAAATTCTGTACAATTGTTTCTGAAGTCTTAGCCTTTGAGGGCAACCATGTATATAAATATATTTCTGAATTTAACTTTACTTTATAGAGATAAAATTATATATGTATAATAATTTAGGGGGGAAATGTTACTGTTCTAAACTGTATTCTTTATAATCTAGATCCTTAAGGGGGGGGGGATGACTGAGGGTTTCGTGAAGTCATCTGTGTTACTTTGATTAAGTTTATTAAGTTGATGATGCGCGAAGCGCCAAAAAAATGTGAAATTTTTTCTGTTTTTGGTAATCATAGACAATAGACATGGAGATCAAGTTTCTAGCAGGGTATAATATATCCCAAGATTCTAGGGGAGGCGACTTTTAGGGGGGGATAATTACTCTCAATAGCCCCCCCCCCCAACTATTAATCTATCTATTTATATAATTATATTTATATATACCATCCATGAAAAAGTTATTACTAAATCAGCGAACCTTTTATTACTTATTTTATATTGTACGTAGTGAAAATGCTCACAGATAGAACCACAATTAAAATTTTAAATGAAAGATGAGTGCGAAGCACCCACTAATTTAAGTGAAGTAAACACATGGAATTAAAGAACATTACCTGCAACTTTAATTCTGACGTTCGGAATGCTAAACTCAGTCTCTTGTCTTAAATAAAGCCTTCCTATAAACATTGTACAGTGTACAGTGTACATACACAATCATTTGGCAAAGAAATCAAAAAGTTTAAAGCTGGGAACAATCAATGTTTGTCGTCTCTGAAGTACGTCTCATTCTTTGTGCGGAACTCTGTATTAGCACTTATCAGTATAAAATAAAGAGCTATAATTAACTATTAATGATTTCTTGAGTTGAGCTGCAGGTGTGACTTGAATCCTATTATATATACTTCAAAGATTATATATTTAAATGATTACTATTTTTATTTATATTTAATACAAAATGCACTAACAATAGTTTAACAAATAATGATAATAAAGGCATTTTGATATAAAATTATAAAATAATAAGAATCGAATTAAGCCATTTCCTTTTTTTCATTTCAACTTTACAAAGACATTCATACACAATAAAATAAATGGAACGGTAATGACTGGCCCGTTTCTAAGAATTTTACATAAGGGGGGGGGGCTTTACACTGACTTCTTTTTTAGACTACAGAAAATTATGGAATAATAAGACGACATTTAGGCAATCTTTATGTGCATTTTCAGATGTTGTTCTAAAGCAAATAATTTACCATCTAGGCCTTGAAAATCAACTTATTAAGTGAAATGGGTCCGTGAACACTGCAGCTAGCTATATTTTATGCTACTTGAACTATATAAAATAAAAACATTTAAAATTAAAGTCTTCTTCCTCTTCCAGAGTTTTCTGGTCCTCTGTACACCCTGTATGCTAAATAATATAAACCCCAAATATCTGAAAGATTCCCCGGGATGGGTTTATGCAGATGTGAGTACAGTCGGATAACCAAGTAGAGGATAATAAGGTAGATATTGCCAGTTCAAAGACAAACAAGGCACTTCAGTTATACTCAATTCAAAATACTACAGAATAAGAATTATTATATACAGTGATAACCAGAAAACTCTGGAATAGAAAGTCGACTTTTAGACTCAAGATATGACTTTAGATAGTCCAATGAACATGCTAAAATCCTTTATACGCGCCTGGCCCCCTCCTTCTCTCCTCCCTATCCTCCCCCCTCCTTCTACTTCTCCTCCCTTTCCTCCCCCTCCTTCTTTCCTCCATATCCTCCCCCTCCTTCTCTCCTCTCTATCCTCCCCCTCCTCACCTTTTTTGACCATGAATGAGTGATGATGGTAGTTTTATAGCTGCTACTCGTCAAAGTTTGAATATAAATCTTCATATTTACCATGTTTACGCCGTTATATAAATTACAATACGCCAAAATATAGGTTTTATCGGTTTTAACAACGCGTAATTGGATAAACTCTATATAATTCTTCTTTACTAAGTTTTCAGGATGCTTCACGTCATTCTTTGTACTTTTAAAGTCTTTTTAACATAGTTTAAAAGTGGCAGTTCATGGTTTATTTTATACTTAAAGGGATTGTCGGAATAATTTCAAATGACCCTCCATTTAAATAATCAGAACGGTTTCCTTGAACCCCTTATCAGACCAAAAAGAATTTACTTCTTACAACTTCCGCCATTTTTTCTAATGGAGAAATTTGTTTATCAAATTTAATTATTATAGAGAAACTACAACTGT